CCCACACCTATCTCACCTGTTTGAAGAGATACCCAGAAATGTCAAATGTGAAAGTTGTAGGTAATATCAGAAAGTTTGCAATGAAGCTAGTTACAAGTATACCAGGTATGTCACAAAAGTGTGTCGGAGCGAAGTTATACAGTGACCGCCAAAAAGTTTGCAACAAATGGGAAAATATTTTACATATGTACTTTTTTAAATAGAACATCCTGTATATTATTGACCTATTGAATTAGTCTTTCAAACCTGATTCCAAATATACTAGGTTTTTTTGGGATTATTCCTCAAGCCTCTGAATATCCCATTTTGAAGAAATAAATGCAAATTATTCCACCCCTTTTTTTCTTATTTTCTCCCGGACTATTAGAGAGTGTCACTCTTGTAAGTTATCATCTAACTGTTATGCTTTGAGAGGGCTCTCAGAGCAGTTAGAGCTGCAAACTCTCAGGGCCTCATGTTTTTCTCTGGTGGAGTCACACATTACTTATGGAATTGAATTTTGAGGCTGTTGCAGGTTGCAGACGTTGCACTACTACAAATTTCAACTCCATATTTATTTTACAAAAAAAAAGCCCTTAGGTTTATGCTTAGAGTTCCCTGCCTACAATCTTGCAAAGCTAGCTTCAATTCTCATAGAATTTTAACTGTGCCAGGCTTATACATACTGCACTTTACAGTATTTGTCTGGTCTATAGGAAATACTATGACCAACTTTCTTTGGCAAGCCACTATTTCACTTGGCAAGCTAATAATATTCCACTGCCAATTCCCAGAAGCACCTTGGTGAAGAAGTCTTTTATTTATTTTGCCAAGAAAGCCTCCAATTTTCTACCATCTAGCGTTAGGTCTTCGCGTTCATACAGGAGGTTTAGAAATTAAGGCAGTTACTCTCGACTAAAGCCTACTATAATATTGAAAAATTCTTTGGAGACACCTTGTGAACATATTTTCAACGTTGGTAGAATTTTAAATTGTTCTTCTAGATATTTAAGTTTTATTATTTTATTATTTGTTGATATGCTTTGTCAATGAAAAATTTGTTCTGGACAATAAAGTACTTTTTGATTTGATTTGTTTTGTTTCCTCAGTTTTTCCAAAATACCATTTGGACCATGAACTACCTGGCTTTGATTTGGATTCCAATAGCCAACCGTATAATCAATATTTTACCATGGGAAATGATTTGTTAATTCGTTGTCAACAAGAAATTTCACAAGTTATGGAGTAGACATGTTTGCATTGATATTGATAATCATGACATTGATTAATAGGGAATTCTCATATTTCTCAATTTATTTTTTTTTAGATACTTCTAGTCATCAGATATTACATAGTTTTCTTTTTTTCCATTTTAATTTATACATTCTACGAAAAAAAAAATATTGAAATTCAAATCAAAAACTTTGGCGCGAAAACGCGAAATTTCAATATGACAGCGCTCATGATGTCAAGATTTTGTAAACATCAAATGCAGCAAACGAATTCTTGCCGACTTAGTGCTATTTTTGTGTTATGTTTGTGAAAATTGTGGCAATGGATGAAGAACATTGTAAAATATTGCTTTCGTAAACTTTATTTCACTAAGTTCCCTATTGATAGGTTTGTTTACAGAATCGTGACGTCAAAAAAGGTGGCCATCATGGAAGCATCGTTGGCGGGAGAAATTTTATTTCAAATTTTGTGTTATTTTTTGTGTAACAAGAGCGGTATTAGTAAAATAAAAACTGGACATATAAACATTGTGCAGTATAAACTATCGATTTAAAACGAATTTGGAAAATTTTAGTTCATTTGCAAGTTCCCTATTCTTTGAAGCGAACTTGAAAATGTTATAGCATTATCCTCAGCTTCCATATTTTCTATTCTAAATAACTGACTCGGAATCCAGTATAACTACCTTGGTTTCCAGAATAGGAGGTTATTCTGTAGTCACGTTGGTATCCTTCGAAATTATTCTGTCACACCGTTTATGCCCGTCTTTATCACACAAATAGCATCTAAATGAAAAAATAATTGCTATTTTTCTGCATTCTCCTTGACTCCAACTCTACTCTATTTTTCTTAAACCCGAAAAAAGCAAGATTTTGGTTACTTTCTTCTCTTGTTTCATTCTGACTAGCCTCTTCCGTTAATAATTGATTTTCTACAAACTCAAGAATAACTGCTGTTCAATAGCTAGTCACTAACTAGAAAGACTCGGGCATAGCAGATATTATTCACTGCAAAAGCATCTCACTATCGTCCACAGTGCCTCCAGCATATTTTAATTCACAAATTATCTGTTTTGCTTCTCTGTCCAACTTAGCTTTAATGATGCATAAATGCCTATACAGGGGTGAGTGAAGAAAAAACTTTATTACAAATTACCAATACATTATTTGTTGAAATGGGACTGAGCGAAAAGTTCCCATGAACATAGAAATAACTTTTTTCTTCTCTGTAGCATGAGTTATAATGGCTCTACTGACTGGCTGTAGTAATCAAGAGACTGTAGACTTATTTGCAGAATTCTTTTCTAGTGTTTACTCGAGCCGCACCACTCATCAGGCCCCGCAATACTCATTTTTCAATGTCACTGATGTTTCTTGTGCTGATATAATAGAACAAGTTAAAAATTCACCCATGCCTGTACACCCTTGCGATGCTCCTGGCAAATATTTCCAACCATTCATTGTCGACAGGTTCTTACCCAGTTTTGTTGAAGTTCAGCTTTTTGAAACCAATATTTGAAAGTGGGTCAAGAGAAGAAATCACAAATTGCTGTTTGCACGCAGTCTGGGATTCCTAAGTTGCTGGATTGTCTCATTACCAGGAAACTTAGCTGGGACTGTAGGTACCTCTCATGGGTTACGGTCGGCATCAACAAAACGGAATTTTATTTTGAAGAGCATGGAGAAGGGGTTGCAGGTTGATTCTGTATGCTCGGAGTTCTCTAAAGCCTTTGACAGGGTTAACCATCGCCTATAGCGGTGTTGTGTCTCGTGTGTTCGATGTTCCTTCTATATTTTTTTGTGTTTTTTATAAAGAGGTTCTGTGCTCCTAACAAAAAGGAAACAGAATATAGTTCTCTAATATTGAACTTTCATCGAATCATTCAATAAGAAGGTTTCATCAGAATGTCACCTCTGCAGGTATATAATATTTCTACCAGGACATTTTCCGTTCTTCTTCTGTCTCATGTTACATTATATTTGAAGAGAGTGAGCATAATACCCATATTATTGTAGAGTGAAAAGGAATTTCGCTGGTCAAATTTGGGTTTCTCCAACTACTTCACGGTGCTTGCGATCGCTGCAACTCCTCTGTTTTAATAAGACAGTTCCTCTGCAATTATTTATACTCTATGAATTTGTTGCATGGCCTTTGATATGTTGTTTGCGTAGAGTTTCGAATAGAAAATATTCGGATAATCACAACGCTACCCTGTTGAAATTTCCAGCGTTGTAATTTTTGATTTCATATTCCATTCGACTTTATAGTAATTTGATTACCGATTTTTAATTAATTTCAAGTTATGGCCTCACAAAGTATCTCCCACACACATTTTTCCAATGATTGTGTTCCTGCAATTTTTATATTTTGTGGATTATACCGTCTAAGTTGCAAATATGTGCTAGAGATCGTCTACAAAGGACCGATTCATACTGAATGCAACTATAAAGAACACTCTAATGGTATTGCAAATAGAAGTTCCTTATTTGACTCAAATCGTTGATTGAGGAAGTAGGGGATGTGTGGGACTGAAACAAGACAGCATTTTTCCATTAGAAAATCACAAGAATTTACGAGAATGTGTTTTTAAGAGAATGTACAAATTACAGTCAGTACCTATTTAATTAGTTTTTTTTCCTGAGTAGGTACCGTTCTTGCTTTACTCTTGGCACAACTTCTTCAATGTGCATTGTATTTGACAAATGAACCATCTATTTTCCATGTTAACTCAAAAGACAAATCAGCTTAGAAAAAAAAATAACCTCAACTAATCTAGATCGTAAGTTCGGTATGACGATGTTAATTTTCAAGTTGGTACGGTGTAATTTGTAAATTGATTTAATAAGGAAGTAATTTTGTGTGTGTATGCATTCGTAAGCGGAGCACTATGAAACGTACGGTTGACGGAATTTGATAGTGGGATTTGCCTCATGTAAATTTTGGGTAATAATATGTATTAATCTCATCTAATGAAGGGCGCGTGCCATTTTAACTGAGTTAGATTCCTGTAAACCATCTAATATTACAGTTCTCGGCTAATGAACAAAAACATAACTGCCAACGTCTCCATTGATTAAGATACTCCAATGCTGTTGTGCCCAGGGGCTGTAAAGGGGGTGAATCGAACCCGCCGCCCCCGATCCGGCTTATTTCAGCTCTGCTTCAATTAATAAAATTTACATGCAGATGGCTCGATCCGCGCCATAATCCTTTAATAAAGTTGTGCTACGGAACGCTCATTATACCTTCTAAACCAAATAACGCTTTTATAAGGGGTATTTTCAGGCTTCGAACTCTCAGAAGATCATTTTGAGGATGTTTTTGAAAGGTAATTGTCGGAATTGTAATAATAATTGAGAATATAGGTATCGTCATTTATACCATAGTCAATATATTATCGTGAATACTAAAGCCTATGAAAATTATTACATTGTTTTGTCCTTCGGGAGTAATTGATCAAGTCAGGAGAAGTTTGATCAGGACTAGGACACTACTAACTTTAAAAACGCAAAGAAACTCTCACTGTTAGCTCATAATAGTATGTATTCATAATATGTTATATTTCTTGATTGAGACATAGGTTTTTATTAAATAATATTATATTAATTATAAATGATGAATGATTAATGATTACAACAGTCTTTGACAACTGGCTGACTTCTAATATATTGTTTTTAACAAGAAAATGAAATTTTAAAAGTATAAAACAAGCTCATGCTTTAGAAATTCAAATTAAAATCATTAATTCTTCTAGGTTGTTTAACGACTCTGCTGCTTCTTCTAGGAACTTAATTATTAGTAGTAGAACTCATCAAAGTTTTGATTGGCTCAACAATGTCTTTGTCTCTGACATTGTCTTCAGTTGTGTGGGTATGATCAAAATCCGCAAGATCCTTTCTTAATTGATGATGTCCTCGAGATGGTCTAATATGGCTACTGTTTCTTCTTAAAAGTTTTCCATTCTGCTTCTGCACTATATAGGACCTTGGAGTATCTAATTTTTTGGTAACTTTTGCAGGTTGCCAAGTTTTACCTTCCTGAATGACTTTATTATCCTTTTCTCCAAATTCTTTTTTTATTACTGCATTCCTGTCATAGTAGTTTTTGTAGATGTCTCTATTATTTTCCAACTTCTGTTTTTCTTCCTCCCAATCAATAGAAGTAGGAGTTGACAACTATTTTGCTGAAGGCAGTTTGGCTCTCAATAGTCTACCTGTTAGTAGTTGAGCAGGAGATTTATCCAATCCTGTGACTGGAGTATTACGATATTCAAGCAGAGCCAAATCTAAATCGTGACATTTCCTTAACATGTTTTTGGCTATTCCAACTGCGCTTTCAGCCAGTTGAAGACTTGGGGTAATGAGGGCTAGATGTGACAAACTTGAAACACCAACTTCTTGCGGAATCTAAACATTCTTTTGAATTATATGGCATATTCTCTGCATAAAACTCTGTGGGGATACCATGGTTTGAGAATACTTTTTTCATGGCCGCAATAATAGCTCTAGAAGTTTTTCTTTCCAGCCTTATAACCTCTAACCATTTTGAGAAATAGTCTATTATGACTAGGTAAGAATGTCCTCCATATTCTAGAATATCACTGGCTACTTTCTCAAATGGTAAATCTGGAAATTTTCTAAGTATCATTGGTTCTTTCACATTGCTTCTTTGATATTTTACACTCTTTGACCTTGTTTTCTATGTCACTATTAATTCGAGGCCAGAATAAAATTTGTTGCGCCCTTTGTTGTGTTTTAGTGATTCCATAGTGTGTTTCATGAAGAAATGTGCGCTTGAAGTAATTTTGGCACTATAATTCGGTTATTGTAAAAAGCTCATCCATCAAGTACCTACTTATATATCTATCATTGCGTATCTGAAAATATGGTTGTGCTTCAAGGGCTACTTTTGAAATATCTGAGAGCCAGCCTTGATTGCAATAATATATAATTTTTTGAATACAGGAATCTCGCTCTGATTCTTGCTGAAACTCTGCTTTTTTTCTTTTGTCACATTGATGGAGTGTATTACTTCCGTTATGAATTTATCATCTACTGTTGACTCGAGCAAATAATTTCTTGATAAAAGGTGTACATTTCTTTTTCTGGCTTATAGCATATATTGAGATCGTACTTCAAGAGTTAAACTTTGATTCTTTGCAGCCTCGGAGAGTGTACCTCGGCAACACCTTTTCGGATTAAAACTTCTAATGGCTTGTGATCTGAATGTATTGTTACTTCTCTACCATAATAGTACATTAAAATACAAGTTTCATAAGACGTCATTTTATCGCACGAGCCCGAGGGCGAGTTTAATATTATTCAAAGCATCAGCTTATTTTTTAGTCCATACCCATACTATGTTATCTTTAAGCAACTCTCTAAGAGGTGCAGTTAAGGTCGACAATTTGGGAACGTAACTGCGGAGATAGTTAATCATACCCAAGATTTTTTGTAATTCCTTTTTATTTTTAGGCTCTTTGAGACCTATAACTGCCTTAATTTTCTCCTGATCTGGTTGCATTCCCTCATTGTTAAATGTGTTTCCAATATATTTTACTTCATTTACCCTGTATTGTAACTTAACACTATTGAATTTCATATTAAGTTGTCTAGCACGTTGCAAAACATCATTCAAGGCCTTATCATGTGACTCTGGATAATCAGCAAATCATCAAAATAGACTAAACAACCCTCTATATCACCAAGATTTCTATTATTTGATTTTTGAAAAAATTCTGGTGCACAATTTAACCCGAACGCAAGCCTGTTAAATTTATATACGCCAAAAACTGTGCCAAATGCACATAGCTGGGTAGACTCTTCACTCAATTCCACTTGATAAAATCCCTCTTTGAAATCCAAAACAGTGAAATAATTTTGACCTTGAAGCTTTGAATTACCTTCAGTTGGAATCAACGCCCAGAATCTTAGTGAAAGAAATGTTCATTCAGATAAATATAATGTGTCCAGAAAGTCTAATCTCGTTTCTATATCATATAGATATATGTCAAAATCAAGCAGATCGCAAATTAACTTAGCAATTGAAAAACTGTAGACAAAAAGAAAAAAACAACCTGCACTTGAAAAAATTTAATAATACGATATTTTTAAATAACGCAGAAATGGAACTTTGAATGAAAATACACACGTGTGTGAGTAGTTGCAAAATTGCAATGGAGATTTAGAAAAGATTAATGAAAAACCTATTCTTATTCTATCAAATCAATAAGATAGTAAAGAACAGAAAGAAGACAGTATTTTGCTCAGAATTAATGCGCATAATACAATACAACAATAAATCAAAACAACCAAAATTTAATCCCCTTACAGAGTGACCCAACATCTACATTAGCCTCATTCGTACACACTTACAGGATTTTCACAAACTTCTTCAAGAAAACTACCCTTTTCAGCCATCCACTCGAAAATTCGCCATGCCAAACAATAGGTTTTTGGGTTTCACGAGGCGTATTTTTGTAAAAGATACCACTCATATGCGCAGGTGGAAGGTAGAAAATTTCAACAATTTTAATCTGCTTGTTTAGAAGATCTTCAGAAATCTATAGGCTAAGCTAAGTGAATATGGGAAATCAAGATACACTGTTAAATTCTTCACAAAACATTTCCACCCAGACAGCACAGAGACATTCCAAAGACATTCCTAAAATGTCCACAAACGACATTCAAGACTTTTTTCAGACGTCTGCTTACGTCTTCAAGATGTCTCAAGAACCCAACGTCTCAGGCGTCTGCCTAAAGACGTCTTCAGGACTAATATTTCCTTATTAATACTAATTTTAGAACAGTTTTGTCTATTCCAGGTGCTCTGAAATAATTCTGGGGTTTTTAAATTGTTCTGAAGCCTTTCAAAATGCTGCTGGAAAGTGTTTTGGAACGTTCTAAATGGCTTATTGAAGTTCTAAAGTGTTCTAACTGAGCATTTTAGAAGTTATTCAGTAATTTATAAATCATTCTGACAAAGTATTTTAGAGCCCTATATTGAATCTCTAAAGTGTTATAAATTGGTTTTGAAGAGTTTTAAAGGTTTCCAGTTCTAAATTGAATCCTAATTCTTCTGGAATAACTTTAAAATTTCTAAATTGTACCGAAATGCTCCTGAAGTCTGCTCTTGGATTTGAACTATTTTGGATGCTTATTAAAGGTTTGAAGTTCTAGAACAATTTAAATTTGACCTAAATCCTAAGATTTCTGGCGCATTTCAAAATGTTTCTGGAGATTCTAGAGTGCTCGAGTATTTTGGAGCGTCCTAAAATGGGTTTCAAACTTCTGAATTGTTCTAAAATGCTTTTGGAAATTGAAAATCGTTTTTTGAATGTTTTGGAGTGATTTTGAAGTTTCCAAATTGTTTTGAAGCACTACAGAATACTTTTGGAAATTTTGAATTGAATTTTGAGTGTTTTGAATTTTCCAAAAGGCTTAATACAGTTCCAAAGTGTTCTGTAGCATTTTAAATGGTTTCCAGTAATTTCTAAATTGAATGAGAAACAAATTCTGTGGAGAGTTGGCAACGACATTCAAGACGTTTTTTAGACGTCTACTTACGTGTTCAAGGTATCTTGTACCTATCTTAAAGACATCTTAAAGGCTTCGTATGTTATAAAACCTAACGTCTTTCAAACGTCTGCCTTAAAACGTCCAATGCTGGACTTAAAAAGACGTGTTCAAGATTTTGTTTGCTGTCTGGACAATAATATCAAAATGTTGAAATGAACTTTAGAAAAAAGGAGATTTGATAGTTTTATCTTCAATGAAATAAAGAACGTAAGTTCGATATGTAAGTAAATGATGGATAAATTGAAAACTGCGTGGCTTTTTGCGTTTAGTTACAGATACCTAGTTTTAAGTTGAAAACTTTAGGAGTTAAAACTAAATGAAATTTTATCAAATCCATCTCTGTAAACTATGCAAAGAACTATTTTTTTTGCGATGGAAATCGGTTTGAAAAAACACGTTCGCAAGTATAATAAAGGTAATCCATTATTAAAAAGACTGTCCTATATGGAGAGAAGAATGAAGTTGTAGAAGTAGTCCATATTTCTCTGGAGTAGAATGATAATGGGGGACCGAAAACTCAAAGTCTTCCTACACTAAATTTTAGTCAACTGGATGGGTTCATTAGAGTTAATAGCTGGCATGTTCCAGCATTATAAGAATCCCATCATCAGGGCACAATAAACTCAACGTAGGAAAGACTCTCAAATATTTCATTATGTTTAGACATGTGGGAAAGGTTCGCAAAGTAGGTATATTCAAGTCATTCATCAGTCAAAAAACGAGAAGGAAAAGAAGGTTTTTCTTTCTTTCCAGCAGTTGCAGCCAACCTTAGTTCAGTTCACTGTCTCAAAAACAAACAGAGCTTTCATGTCACATCCAGGTTTCTTGCACCAGATTCTAATTTCGAGAAAAAGCAAGAAAGTTTTACACTGATTGATACTTGCAGGAAAATGCTGTCCCAAAAGGTTCCAGGAAGGAGTTAATGAAGAACAGTACAGAAATCTCCTATTCAGACTTGAAGTAGGTACTGTTAGATGTTAGATGAACGAGATTTGCTTACTTTACTTTGTAGAAGAGGGCTCCAATGAAAAAGTGATGCCAGCGAGTCTCAGAAATAAAAGATGAAGAAAGAGCAAGAAATGGATAAACCGAGGGTTAAACAGCAAGGGAAATTTGGTGAACAGATCACAGGAAATCATGGAGAAATAGGGGATATTTTAAGGAAATCAGAGAATATCTTAAGGAAATCATGGGAAATATTTAGGAAATCAGTCAATCTCTAGATCTTACGCATGCGAAGTTTTCAAACATCTTTATAATTTCAGGTGATGTTATCAGAGGAGCTCTTGGGCAATCTTGCTGGTAATCAGAAGAAATCAGGAGAAATAATAATAATAATAATAATAATAATAATAATAATAAATCGTCTTTTTTTTTGGTAACTACAATTCATATAAATATATCAATAAATTTGTGGCTGCTGAAATCGTGGGAAATCATCAATGATTTCCCCTGAAACTGCAATCTGATTTTCAAAAACTGACCTGTGGTTTATGCCTCAGGAATAAACCGCAAGGGAAATCTGGTAGACAAATTATGTAGGAAAAATCAAGAGG